TTTTTTTTTTTTTATATATATATATATATATATATATATATATCTCTCTCTCTCTCTCTCTCTCTCTCTCTCTGTCTCTGTGTCTGTCTGTCTGATATATATACATATATATATATATATATATATATATATATATATATATATATATATATATATATATATATATATATATATATATATTACAACTATATATACAGTTAAACCTTTGGACGGTCAAAATTCCAATAATTTAGCGAAACATTAACTTATCGATATATTAATAATTATTAATTTATAAATTAATTAATTAATTATTAATTTATAAAGTTATTTTTATTATTATTTTCAAAAAATATATTTGTTTTTAATTTTTTACGTTTATATTATTCATTGTACCATTAGTTCAATGCTATATAGAGCCCGTTTCACGAACGTAAGCTCTTAAAGCATAATGGTATTGAACAATTTCATGTTGAGTTATGCGAAAGCTATACTAGAAGTTCTAATAATGTTAAGAAAAGTGAGGCACGAGATTGATGGTAATGTGAACTTCAACAAGAAACAAACGGCAATTAGAATATATATTATTAATTTAAATATTATATGGGGCTTCTTAAAAATTTCGAATGTGCATTATCTTATAAATTTAGCGAATTATTAATTTAGCACGTTGTCCCCGAATCGGGACCGGGAAAATTTATTATTTAAGCGAGGTTATTAATTTATCGGGTATTAATTTATCGAGGTTCTACTGTATGTACATCTCCCCACTATGTCCTGCTTAATTTATTTTCCCTTTTTCATTTGCCACTCCAGGCCTAGAACACGAATACAATTTCTTTTATGCTTTTCTTTTCTCTCCTCTTTAATCCTCCTTACGTGCCCTCTCTTCTTTTCCAGAGAATTTTGACAAGAACTCCAAATTAAAATGCTGTGCTTTTACCTTAGAAAAGTTTCAGTCCTTTTAAAATTACCATCTCATTTTTTACCGTTTGCAAGGCAATTCGGAATTCAAACAATAACAAATTTCCCCCCATATCCGCTGCCGCCAACGCGTTTGGGCTCCGCGCAGCTGCTTCTTCCGGCCTCGCGGGCGTTTGTTTATCTCTTCGGTGCCCCTTTTCTGCTCTCGGAAAAAGTCGGGCTCCCACGTATTTTTACGGGTTCATTGTTAAATCCTAAAATTTCACTGCTTTCGTGTATGTACTACTTGTGAAGTGCCTCTACAAAGGGCGTCAAGTTACATAATTAATATATGCTGTCAAAATATATAATCTGAAACTTGTGTGTGCATCTCTATGGTAGCTATTGGGATTGCGTGATTTTACTTTTCGCTTTCAGAAATCCACTCTGCTTTGAAGATGAACATTTTCATCAAGTTTTTCTCTGCGAGAATTTATAGAAAAACGTCATAATATTGTTATTATTTCTCTACGATTTGATTGTATTCTTTTTTTGTGAATTTGCCAATTTGTATATTATAGTACCGATGTTGCTGTAGAGAATGAAGGTCTAAGAAATTTCCCAATTGATAATGTGCTTGCCAAAGTTTTCATTGTCCTCTTATTTTTGCACCATGCTTTCTGCCAATCTATTCTTATTTTTCAATTGTTATATTGTTCACAGTCGGGAATGGCAAGTGTTATTATGATTAGGTTGTGGAGTTTTACACAGGGATATGTGTATGTCAACTGATTTTGAGGTTTGAGGGGCTCTGCATCCGTTTCCATCATTTTCAATACCATGTCTGCTAACCTTTTTGTTTTCCTTCCTCTTTTTGTTTATTTATTTACGATATTACTATGGACCTTAGCCTTAGTATTAGCATATATATATATTTATTTATGCTTTTCGGACCTGGGAATGACAGGGGTTATATGCTTGTCGAATTTGTTGTTTTATTGTCTTTATTATTTACACAAGGATATATATTTCTCAAGAGATTTCCATGTTTGAGATGATTGTCGATCCGTTCGAGCCAATTTCAATAGCATTTGTGCTTCTTTCTTTTTTCCCCTTCATGATCATTTATTTCTCCCCCCTCAGTCACGTAGGTGTACCATTTAGACAACGATTTTTTTTGTTAAAAAATATTTTTCCAGATGACCAAAAAAGTTGCCTTAGTAAAGCAATTTATATGAAAGTAGAATCTCTAAATTTGTCTCTGATTTGTGGGTATGATTTTAGGTTGCAGTCATTCACTTATTGTAAGTTATATCAATATGCGTCACTGCATTGCGCGGTCTTCTTGGTGTTCATGTTCTATATTATGTCCTGTCCTCACAGATGTTCCTGATTCCGTACGTACAAATGGCGAGCTCGTTATGCCTCCAAAAAACGTGCTCGCCCCTTTGTTTCTTGGGGCAATATGCCAAACACCCTTTATTGGGATTTTAATTCTTGATAAATCCTTTCTCTATAAATGATATTTAAGATAAATCCAATGGGCCTGAAAAACCATATATGCCCCCACTAACTATTAATAAATATAATTATTTAATTTTAAAAAAATTCTACCCATAATCTACACCCAAATCTTCCTCATAATTCTGCCCCAAATCACGCCCGAAATACACTCCAACATCATCTTCTGTGCACCGCTTTCAACGCCCATCCAACAACAGATACTATTCTTAAGGAAGACATTGTTTAGAGGCTAAACCATATTTGTTTTATTCGCGAAAAAACATTTTTTCTTGATTTGTATCACTGCTAAATGGTTTAAAAATCGACATAAAAAAGTAAGTGATTTACGGCCTTCTGTTTTTTGATTTAAAACGATTATTTGAATATTGCAAGTATTTTACAAGAATTTCGAAAATAGTTGCGAAAACCACTCTGTATAAGACCACTCAGTACAAAGAGTTGCGAAAACCACTCTGTATAAGACCACTCAGTACAAAGAGTTGCGAAAACCACTCTCTATAAGACACACTCACTACAAAGAGTTGCGAAAACCACTTGTATATAACCACTCTGTACAAAGATTAGCGAAAACCACTCTGTATAAGACATGCAAACAGTATATCAAAAAGTTTTGAAAACCACTATGTATAAGAACACGTTTAAAGAAAAAATACTGTAAATACTGCAACAATAACAAACATGTTCTTGTACCAAATATATGATTTATCAAATATATGAAATTTGTTACTTACAATCGCAAATATAACTAAGGGTTGTGAAAACCACTCTGTAAAATCTGAACACGAACCTCGCTATTCTTAACTCAATAAATATCATGGGACCCTTTTTCTGCAATTAAAATTCCCACCTCCACAAAACCATATGTCTACAATTAAGGAGAGAGATTCGTGGTCTCACATCATTCAAAATATGATTACGTGATCTATTAATTATGGAAAAGATGTATTACATAATTACATATTTTCAATCATAAGATATGCTAAATTGAATTAAGGGTATAATAGTGAATTCTAATATATTTTTATTAATTAAATACGTTTTGGATTTTGCTTAAAATCTGGATATTTTTTTGGGTCTATCGTACCACCACCTCTCTAATGAGGGGCTTTTGACAAATTTTCCCTTGTTTCTTTCTCCTCTTGCTTCTTCTTCGTCTGCTTTTGGCAATGGTGCGTTGTATTTTTCTCATGTTCCCTGCAACCATCAGGTATCTTCTTCGTGTGCTTTACCTTTTTTTGTTTCTTCATCTGGTGTGTGTATATATATATATATGAGCTAATTGCAAATACCACCCCTGTGAAATCTCTTATTGTCAAATACCTCCTTGTCAAAAAATAATTCACCCATACCCTCTGTGTAACAAAAGTCAAGGCACAGACCCCGGAACAAATCGTGTCCCTCACGCGCTGCTAGTGTGATTTTTTCTCCCTTTTTGCGTATGAAATGTCGGAAACACCCCCAAGCCTCTTTTTTCTTTTTTTTCTTTTTTTTTCCCTTCTTTTTTCTTTCCTCTCCTTCCTTCTTCATCTTCTTCAAACCCAGCCCCGTCAAACCTGTAGAATAATCTTCCTGTAGAAGCCATAGCCCGAAAAATCTGTAGAAACCACTGACATAAGTGCTTTATAGACTCTGGAACTCCAAGGATGAACGTTGCTGCCGCACCGGTCTCACAACCCACCGCCGCGGTATGGCCGCGACCTCAATTGTGAGAAGATTGTCCAATCCTCTATATTTGGTAGATTTATAGGAAGAAATCGAAAGAAAATAATGTTAATATACCCTAATTTTAGGTCCAATTTTATCTTTTCATCAGGCGATTAAAATGAGTGAATTAAATGTATTTAAAATGTTGAAATTTTTTGCCTGGTGTTTGTGCGGTGGATCTGAAGAAAATATGGTGGTGGTGGTGGAGGTGGTGGTGGTGGTGGTGGTGAGCCTGGTGGTGACGCATGAGGGTGGGGTAGTGCGTGGGGGTGGGATGCTGTGGGAACAAGATGAACAAAGACTTTTTCTCATTTTTTTTAATATTTTTTAAAATTTATTATTATTATTATTATTATTATTATTATTATTATTATTATTATTATTATTATTATTATTATTATTATTATTATTATTATTATTATTATTATTATTATTATTATTATTATTATTATTATTATTATTATTATTATTATTATTATTATTATTATTATTATTATTATTATTATTATTTGAATTTTTTGTTTAAATTGAAAAACTATTCCTCCTCTGTTGAAAACTATTAAAGAA